GGGAATAAGTTTCAACAATCAGTAGAAATATCTACATGTATGTAAATTGGAAATAGGTTTCAATCATAAGTAGAAATGTCTACATGTATGTAAATTGGAAATAGGTTTCAACCATAAGTAGAAATATCTACTAGTATGTAAATTAGGAATAGGTTTCAACCATAAGTAGAAATGTCTACATGTATGTAAATTGGAAATAGGTTTCAACCATAAGTAGAAATATCTACTAGTATGTAAATTAGGAATAGGTTTCAATCATAAGTAGAAATATCTTCATGTATGTAAATTAGGAATAAGTTTCAACCATAAGTAGAAATATCTACTAGTATGTAAATTGGAAATAGGTTTCAACAATCAGTAGAAATATCTACATGTATGTAAATTGGAAATAGGTTTCAATCATAAGTAGAAATGTCTACATGTATGTAAATTGGAAATAGGTTTCAATCATAAGTAGAAATATCTTCATGTATGTAAATTGGAAATAGGTTTCAACAATCAGTAGAAATATCTACATGTATGTAAATTGGAAATAGGTTTCAATCATAAGTAGAAATATCTACATGTATGTAAATTAGGAATAGGTTTCAACCATAAGTAGAAATATCTACTAGTATGTAAATTGGAAATAGGTTTCAACAATCAGTAGAAATATCTACATGTATGTAAATTGGAAATAGGTTTCAATCATAAGTAGAAATGTCTACATGTATGTAAATTGGAAATAGGTTTCAACCATCAGTAGAAATATCTACATGTATGTAAATTAGGAATAGGTTCCAACCATCAGTAGAAATATCTTCATGTATGTAAATTAGGAATAGGTTCCAACCATCAGTAGAAATATCTACATGTATGTAAATTAGGAATAGGTTTCAACAATCAGTAGAAATATTTACATGTTTGTAAATTAGGAATAAGTTTCAATCATAAGTAGAAATGTCTACATGTATGTAAATTAGAAATAGGTTTCAACCATAAGTAGAAATATCTACATGTATGTAAATTAGAAATAGGTTTCAACAATCAGTAGAAATATCTTCATGTATGTAAATTAGGAATAAGTTTCAACCATAAGTAGAAATATCTACATGTATGTAAATTAGGAAAAGGTTCCAACCATCAGTAGAAATATCTTCATGTATGTAAATTAGGAATAAGTTTCAACCATAAGTAGAAATGTCTACATGTATGTAAATTAGAAATAGGTTTCAACCATAAGTAGAAATATCTACATGTATGTAAATTGGAAATAGGTTTCAACCGTAAGTAGAAATATCTACATGTATGTAAATTAGGAATAGGTTTCAACAATCAGTAGAAATATCTACATGTATGTAAATT